TAGCAAGTTGAAGAGCTGCCAACATAAACAAGGTGTGACCACCATCTTTCACAATCCCTTGGAAGAAGTTGCAGTGCCTTGTGGGCCTGTGCAATGCTCACTTCCTTCTGTGCCTTTCATGTCCCCTGTTCCAGAGGCACAAATAAACTACCCTTTTCAAGTTGGATATTTGGTAAATCAAAAACAAAGCACTCACACAAGGGGAATCTGGTCTTGGCCCAAAGGGTTTGCCTCAACAGGAAGAGATTATTTTTTCTTTTTCTTGCAGTTAGATCTTTGGAAAGATGATAACTATCAAGTGATTTTTTTCATTGCCACTCATTTTTCGTGTCTTTATGGGGCAGTGAGGTATAGAGAGGAGCCCTCGGCTGATGCAAACGGCTAAGTGCTCCATTACTAACCAGAAGGTTAACAGTTCAAATCCACCCAGAGACACCTTAGAAACCCTACGGAACATAGTTCTATTTGGCACCTAACGTGGTAGCCATTCATTAATCAGAATCAACTCGACAGCAACTGGTTTGGAATTTCTGTTTATTTGTTTGAGGTATAGAGGACAGAACACAGGCTTTGGATTATGGAAGACCTTAGTACAAATTACAGCTTTGTTATGAGCTATCTGTGTGACCTTTGGCAAGCTTCTCCAAAATCCCACTTTCCCAACTGAAAATGTATTTAAGAGTGCCTTCCTTTTGTTGCTGCTGTGAGGACATTATGAAAATAGAGTATGCAAAAGACACAATCCACACAACTAAAAATGTTAGTACCTGTCTGTCCTCTTTCCCCTTTCTCTTTATCTCACAGAATCATGGAATCTCAAGATTTTGTTTAAGGAACCCATAAGGTCATCTAACTCAGATTCACTTTTAAACCTTAAACCCCTTTCACAAAGTCACTGTGAAGTGTACATCCAAAAGGAATCCTTACATTGAAGATGTTTTGTAAAATATCTAGTGCTTTACAGAAATCCTTACATTGGACATGTTCTGTAAAATATGTAGTGCTTTACAAAGGTAAATTTTGTTATCTGAAATAGTCAGATATTTTGGAGCCAAGAGCCAGTCTTGGCTTTCATTGCCTCCAGGGATATATTATTGGAACTTCACCACGGAGGGCCAGTAATATAATGGAAGCAGGGCCAATGGAAATCAACTCCACCCAACCAAAGTTAGCATCTTTTTCACCCTCGAGCACAGGCAGCCAGCCAAGCTGCCCACAGTTGCTCTCTGGGACATGCCATACTCCATGATCTAAGAGGCCCAATGGTACCTGGGAGAGAATTGGCTTTACTTTAAAGCCCCATCAAGTCTTTTTCTTGGTGGCCAATTTAAAGTAGCTACATTCAAACCTTCTTTTACTCTTCAGTCAAGACCTGTAGTCTAGGTGTTAGCAGAGATGGGTTTCGTTCCTGCTCCAAGCGTCTGGTTTGAGTCATCTGACTGATACCCAGAGTTTCAGGAGTTGTAGGTGAGTCTTCCCTTTGTCTTTCATAGGAATGGTTACTGATGAATCCTAGAAGGACAGAACTGGGAGTTAAAAAGACCCTTGAAGATGGGGATGGTGCAGCAGGCAAGACACCGAGACCGTCCACTGCTCCCGCTTTAACCAGAGGAGCTCAATATCACCTGTTTCATGTTCTGGAATTCTGCAGAAGATTTTGTACGTCAAAAAAATTTCTTCTATTTACGAAGGGAGGAAAGAAAGAAAAAGAGAAACAAGGAAAGAAGCAGACTTGAAAACACTGATATAAACTAATCTCTATTGTATAGACAGAATACGAGAAAAGTAAGATTGAGAGAGACAAATACTTTTTTCCTAAGGTCACACAGTGAAAAAGTAGGAGCAAGAAGACTTGAATCTGCATTTTTAAACTTGCAGGCTAGTGCTTTTTATGCTATTCCAGACTTATAGGAAGCAACCCTGGTTGTGCAATGGTTAAGTGCTTGGCTGTTAACCAAAAGGTCAGCAGTTCAAACCCACCCTGAGGCTCCACAGGAGAAAAGACTCCATGATCCGCTCCCATAAAAATTTACAGCCTAGGAAACTCTATGGGGAAGTTCTACTCTAGGGGTTGCTATGAGTCGGAATCAACTCTATGGCATACAACAACAGACTTACAGCTGTGTGCATGTGTGAGTGTCTGCAGTAATAATAATAATAAAATCTAGTTTCCTCTAGTCACCATTGAGACTTCAGGTCTTAGAATAAGATAGAGCAGAAGGAGCTACTCTTGGAGAATGAGACTCACACCTTACTCTTGCTTCTGGTACCAACCCACTATATGGACAGTCATACTACCTCTTTTGGCTTCAGTTTCATTACCTATAATGGGAAAGGCGGCCAAGCTGATTTCTAGCTCTGATATTTAGTATTTAGAAAAGGGAACAGATTCTGGAGTCAAAGAATTGGGGATTAAAATTTTCATTCAGTCACTTAATAACTCTGTAAACTTGGGCTTTTATAATTTCAATGAGCTTCTTATCTGTAACGTACGTCTTTCGAGTTGTTGTAAATTGAATTCACTCACCAAATATTTAGCATCTACTGTGTGCCAGGTGGAAACCCTGGTGACTTAGTGGTTAAGAGCTATGGCTGCTAACCAAAAAGGTCAGCAGTTCAAATCCACTAGGCATTCCCTGGAAACCCTACGGGGCAGTTCTGCTCTGTCCTATAGGGTTGCTATGAGTTGGAATTCACTCGATGGCAATGCGTTTGGGATTGGTTGTATGTGCCAGGCAGAGCCCTCATGGTATAGTGGTTAAGAGCCTGGCTGCTAACCAAAAGGTTGGCAGTTCAAATCCACCAGCTGCTCCTTGGAAACTTTATGGGGCAGTTCTACTCTGACCTATAGGGTCATATGAGTTGGAATTGACTCAACAGCAATGCGTTTGGGATTGGTTGTATGTGCCAGGCACTGTGCAAATCACCAACCAGTTGCTGTTGAGTCAATTCCAACTAATGGCGACCCCTTGTGTGTCAGAGTATAACTGTGCTTCATAAGGTTTTCAATGGTTGATTTTTTTAAAGTAGATCACCAGGCACTTGTTCCAAGGCATCTCTGGGTGGACTTGAACTTCCAAGCTTTTGGTTAATACCTGAGTGTGCTGTTTGCACCACGAAGGGACTCCACTATGCAAGGCAGTGAGGCTCTAATACCCTCCCAGAGTGTACAGTAAAAGAGAAAGACATAACAAGTCAGCCAACAAAAATAGAGTGTACTAAGTGGTAAGAAGTAAGCCTGTATGAAAGATTGCTGTAAAGACTGACAATAACTTAAGTAAAAGGCATGGCACATGGTCATGTAGCCATTAGTATCAAGTGCAAGTACATGGGTCTGGGTTTAGGCAACAGGTACAGTGGAGAGCAGACCTTGGATTAGGGACTCAGAGTTTTGAGTTCAAATCCTGGCAGAGCTGATCATTAGGTAATAAAAATTATTTGTTTTTTTCTCCAAAACTTATTGTAAGTTATTTCATTTACTCCTCACAACTACCTTACAAAGTAATCCTATTATTGCCTCCATTTTACAGATGAAGGAAATCAAAACGGAGATTCAAGAGTGATACACCAACTTGGCTAAGTCCGCACAGCTAGTGAGCGATGGTGCAAGGATTAACAACTAGCTCTGTGTGATGTCAAAGTCCTGTTTTGAATGACCACAAATAAGGTTTTGTTGTTGTTAGGTGACGTCAAATTGGTTCCGACTCATAGTGACCCTATAGGACAGAGTAGAACTGTCCCATAGAGTTTCCAAGGAGCAGCTGGTGAGTTTGAAGTGCCGACCTTTTTAGTTAGCAGTTGAGCTCTTAACTACTCTGCCACCAGGGCTCCGCAAATAAGATAATGGATGTGAAAATGCTTCATAAACTTAAAAACACTGTAAAAATGTTTTTGTTAAAACTGCCTTTGTTAAACTAACATTCTAGTGGGGAGAGACAGACAATCAACAAACAAGAAACAAATAAATGAATGAAAAGGAATGTTCAAAGGTGATGTGTTATGATAAAACAGACCGGGGTTAAGGGAACGGGAGTCCAGTTCCCTCTGGGGAAGGTTGCAATAAAATGGGGAGACGGTTGCAATAAAATATGAATATACACACACATATATGCAACTATTTATACAGCATATGCAAATATATGTGTGTGAGAGAAATAATTATACAAATGTTCTTGCCGTCTTTGCTTTTAAAGGTCTTTTACAATTTTCCCCCTCACTATCCCTCCAAACTCAACTTATATATCTTCTCTTAACCTTAATCATCCAGTGCTCTGCCATTCTGGAATTTTTGAGGTTCTTCAAATATTTTGCTCCCCTGTGCTTTTTCAAATGATTTTCCTTTCTTTAGTTTCCAGAACTCTGAACCAACCCCCTCCCAACCCCGTCACACATCAAGTTTTCATCCTGGTAAACCTCTTCTCATCTTTGGAATCCTCCTCAAAGACATCTCCTCTCTGAAGCCTCCACCTGCCATGTCCAGGCTCCAAAGCACTGGATAATGCTTCTCTTAGGACAACTGTCACCCTAAGCTGTAATTTATCTATTTTTCCATGTGTTGCATGCATTAAGTTGAGTATTTTGAACTTCAAAATAACGTTTTATTAACTTCTGCAATCATCAGTATCTAGCTCTGTCTGACACACAGGTGCAAAGTCTTTGATCAGTTGATGATGGTTTTGCAAAATTAACATTAGCATCTCACAGTGTTAAATCTTGTTTTGTTTTTGTTTTTATAACCCTATCCTTTGGTCTCTAAGAGGAATGTCAGTTTTCCACAGCTCTATGTGCTTCATTCAACTGCTTGGAGAAGAAAAAAACAAAAAGCAAAAAACACCTTGACCCCGTAAAACCGAATCTAAAACAAACTATGATGACAAGAAACACAAAATTGCCACTCCAGACATTTCACTTCGTGATACGGATCTTTTCTTAAAAAAAAAAAAAAAAAAAAGATGTCTAGTCCAAACCTGAATAGATCAATTACTCAATTAAATGCTTGCAGGAAATTTTTAAAAAGGGGTATTTAGTCTAAGTACCATTAAGAACTTCGTTTGGTGATAATGGTAATGTTGACAGTGAAGGTGATAATGAAATGATGATATGAAAATGCTGAAGAGTCTACTCTGGAGCCAGTTACTTTTGGCATAAACAAATGCATCAAATCAGGGTAACAATAATCTCTTTGTTAAAGACGCAACAATGCTGTAGAGGGGAATTCTGCATTGGAGGTAGGACATTTGTCTTCCAGTATGTCTTCTGAATCTAGGCATCTATGATTCTATCACAGAACAGAATGTTTTCTTCACCTGAATTTTCATTGGTCCAGGAAGCTCTTTTGGGGGCTCTGAAGATAGTAGAGAGTTGATACATGGTTGTGGGAAGGAATATCAGCATGATGACCAATTTCATCTTCCAGGGATTTTCAGAGAACCCTGAGCTGCAGGTTGTCCTCTATGTGCCGTTTCTGGGGATCTACCTCATGACCCTTACTTGGAACCTGGGTCTCATTATCCTGATCAGGATGAAGTCACACCTCCACACCCCCATGTATTTCTTCCTTGGTAACTTGTCCTTTGTTGATATCTCATACATCTCCTCCATAGCCCCTAAGATGCTCTATGACTTCTTCAAGGAGCAGAAGACAGTCTCCTTTGTAGGCTGTGCTGCCCAGTTTTTTGTCTTCCTTGGGATGGGAAGCAAGGAGTGCTGTCTTCTGGTGGCTATGGCATATGATTGTTATACTGCCATCTCCGACCCTTTGCTCTACACAGCCCTCATGTCACCCAGCTTCTGTCTGAGGATGGCCATTACAGCATACACTGGAGGATTCCTCTCTGGATTGGTCCAAACCAGCTCCATATTCCGGCTCTATTTCTGTGGGCCACGAGTCATCAACTACTATTTCTGTGGCCTGCCGCCCTTGCTGAACTTGTCTTGTTCTAGTACCTTCCTCAGCCAGGTGATGAACTTTCTTGTCATGTGTGCAGTTGATGGGACATCAGCTCTTATTGTCCTGGTTTCCTATGGCTACATCATTTCTTTTGTCACAAAGATTCATTCACCCCAAGGGCAGACAAAGCCTTTCAACACCTGTGCTTCTCATTTGACCACAGTGATTCTCTTCTATGGCTCAGGTCTCTTCTCATATCTTCATTCTAGTGCTGGCTACTCACAGGACCAAGATAAGGTGGTGTCCATGTTCTACAGAGCTGTGATCCCCATGCTGAACCCCATCATATATAGTCTGTGAAGCAAGGAAATCAAAGAGGCATTGGAAAAATTCAAGGAGAAGAAGAAGCAGATGTCCTCTCTGTGTCTTCTATCCCTTGAATTAAAAAAAAAAAAAAACCTTACAGTTTTGCTATATCTAAAATAGGCATGATTATAAGTGGCTTACAAAAGTGTCATAAATTAAGCTATTTTAAATAAAATCCTCAACCTGCATGTATACTGTACAATTAGTGCTCAATAAAGGCTTGTTTTCTTCTATTTACTTTTCTTGTCATAGACTTACAGGATTTCAATTTTGGTCATTTGCAATAGAAAATAAATACACTTTTCCATGACAATTTTTGGTTGTAGGACATCAGAGGTTGAGTCCAGGATACCATGTCTTTAGAGCTAGCTAGGGCATGGCACCAGAATCATGTTCTTCATTAGAGACTCTTTATAATACAACACTGCTCACACCAATCTATTTGTCACCACCTGGGACAAATTTTCTATCCTTGCCTTGGATTCTTACCTATCCAAGTGTCTGAACTGACCAGGAAGGCTGACTCTTAGTTAGGAACCTGAGAGCCCTACCTGAGTTGAGTTCCTTAATAGTTACTCAAAGTGGCCAGAGTCAAGAAAGTCATAGAGTGGCTATAAACTAGGTCTGAGAAGAGTGAAGGGTCACATCTGCAGAATCATCAAGTCCACTGGGGACAGAAATAGGAGCCAAAACCAGAGGATCAAAAGCTGTGAAGTCACAGTGACTAAAGGACAGGAGTAAGGGCAAGTGAGAGGTCCTAAAAGAAAGTCGAATGTCATTAAGTTAATGTTCATGGCCAAAACCTCCTGGTGACTGGGTGCGACCATTTGGTTTACGGGAACAGCATCAGGGAAGAGAGGCTTCCTTGGAAGCTCTGCTTCATATCTGTCCCCTAGACCAGTTCTCACTCTTGGGCTTATATGGACACTTGACTCACTCTCTGTCTTCAGCCCATCCCCAGTGTGATGTTACTTCATGTTCCCCTGGAATTCGACCTCAGCCTGTCCCATGATTCTAATTCCCCTGCTTTCATTTTCAGGCATCCTCTCAGAGGGACCCCCACACTACTACATAGTCTGAGAAAGGACAAACAAGTCAGTGAGTTTGCAGCAGAACCAAACGTGGTTTTTAAATTGTGTTTGATCCCATTTTACAAGGTGCTTCTTGAGCAAAGGACAAGAATTTCTGAGGCTCAGCTTCTTTAATGGTCACGTGTATAAATCATGGTGTATTATGACAGCTATCCCTAAGTCACATCTACTTTGACCATAGCTATTCTGCCTTAAGGTCCCTGAGTGACATGAATAGTTTGTGCTTGACTGCTAACCTAAAGATTGGTGGTTCGAACTCACCCAGTGGCACAGAGGGAGAAAGGTCTGGTGTCATAGATTGAATTGTGTCCCCCCAAAATATCTGTCAACTTGGCTGGGTCATGATTCCCAGTATTGTATGCTTGTGTAATCTGATGTGATTTCCTTATGTGTTGTAAACTCTATCAGTATGATGAGATTATATCTGATCTCCTTATGTGTTGTAAATTCTGTCCTTGTGATGAGGTTATACTGATGAGGTTGACAAGATTAGATAGTGTCTTAATGCAATCTCTTTTGAGATATAAAAGAAAGAAGCGAGCAGAGACACATGGGAACCTCATACCACCAAGAAAGCAGTGCCAGGAGCAGAGGGCATCCTTTGGACCTGAGGTTTCTGCACAGAGAAGCTCTCAGACCAAAGGAAGATCGATGACGCCGACCTTCCTCCAGAGCCAACGGAGAAAGCGTTCCCCTGGAGCTGACGCCCTGAATTTGGACTTTAGCCTACTGGACTGTGAGAGAATAAACGTCTCTTTGCTAAATCCATCCATTTGTGGTGTTTCTGTTAGAGCAGTACTAGATGACTAAGACACCTACCTGGTGATTTTCTTTTGTTAAGATTACAGCCAAGAAAACCCTATGGAGCACAGTTCTACTCTATAACACGTGGGGTCTCCATGAGTTGGAATTGGCTCTACAGCAACAAATTTGTTTTTGGTATTTTGGATTCTGCCTCAATCCCTCTTGCAATTTATGCTGTTCTCATTTGATCTATTCTCTGACAACTTGGGTTATTGGAGGTTGACGTAGAGGAAAAGCTATGATTTAGACTGGGTATTACTTTGCCAAGCCTTTCATGATCCTTGACTCCTCCAGACCCGGTTCCTGCAGCATGTTCCCACAGCACCTACCAGACTTTGTTTTATCTTGTTCAGTTATCTGTTCTCTCCCTGAGTTGTTAACATCCTTGTCTGACCTGTTCTTTATTGTTTTCCCAAATCATAGAACATTGCTGGAGGCAAACTAGGAGCTTAGAAAATATTTGCTTAGTAAATGAATCTAAATTCACTTGGCAGTTAATAGATTTTATGCCAAAGGAACAGAAATAACACTTATTGAGTGCTTATTATATTCCAGACACTGTGCCTAGTAGTGTTTTTCAAATTGTGTTTCAATCTATAACATACACACAGACTCCTTGCAAAAAATTAAAACACTACTGGTAAGAAAATGTCTCTTTTGGTCATAACCTTCAATTTCAGTCCCTTCCTGCACTCCCCAAGAGGGTAACAAATGTTATACATTTGTATGTAAATTTCCAGTCTTTTTATGCATATTAACACTCATATATATAGCCATTGAAAATACTCAATTTTGCTTTATGTGTCTCTCTGTGTACTTACATAAAGGTACCATACTGAATGATTGTTCTATACCTTGCTTTTTTAATTCAACATTATTTCTAGAGCTCTTCCCACATTTGTATATATAGATATATCTCAGTCTTTTTACCTATTACATAGAATTGATATACAAAATTTGTATACTTTTTCACCATTGATGGATATTTAAGTAGTGTCTGGATTTTGCTAGTGTGTTACCAGCAGTGTTGTGATATACATTTTTTAAATTTTATTGCGCTTTAGGTGAAAGTTTACAGAGCAAATTAGTTTCTCATTCAAAAATGTATACACACATTGTTTCGTGACATTGGTTATAATCCCAGCAATATGTTAGCACTCTCTGCCTTTCCATCCCCAGTTTCTCATTTCCTTTTGTTCAATTTTCCTGTCCCTTCTTGCCTTCTTGTCTTTGCTTTCGGGCAAGTGTTGCCCATTTGGTCTTGTATACTTGATTGAGCTAAGAAGCATGTTTCTCACATGTGTAACTGCTCGTTTTATAGGCCTATCTAATCTTTGGCTGAATGATGGACTTTGGGAGTGGCTTCAGTTTTGAGTTAGCAGCGTGTCTGGGGGCCATAGTCTCAGGGGTTCCTTCAGTCTCTGTCAGACCAGTAAGTATGGTCTTTTTTGTGAATTTGAATTTTGTTCTACATTTTTCTCCTGCTCTGTCTGGGACGCTGTATTGTGATCCCTGTCAGAGTGTTCGGTGGTGGTAGCTGGGCACCATCTAATTCTTCTGGGCTCAGGCTGGTAGACGCTGTGGTTCACGTGGTCCACTAGTCCTTTGAGCTAACATTTTCCTTGTGTCTTTGGTTTTCTTCATTCTCGTTTGCTCCGGATGGGGATAAGACCAATAAATGTATTTAGGTGGCTGCTCACAAGCTTTTAAGACCCCAGATGCTCTTCACCGAATAGGATGTAGAACATTTTATGAACTATGTTATGCCAGTTGACTTAGATATTCCTCCAAGATCATGGTCCCCAGCCCTCAGCCCCAGTAACTCGGTCCCTCAAGGTGTTTAGATGTGTCTAGGAAGCTTCTATGACTAGTCTCCCTTTGTGCTCTATTAAATATATGAATATACAAATATGTATGTAAAAATATCCACAGCCTAACCTATTTGTGTACGTGGTTATACTTTTATATGCCCTCCTTCCTCTATTCAGGATACATGTCTGCCTGTATATCTGCTTGTAAGTTGTTTTTTGTTTTTACCGTTGCTGTAGGGTTGTATATGCTATAGTATTTACTGTGGTTGCCTTTTTTTTCTCTTTCTTGTGTTCTTCTAAGAGTCTTCCTTTGCCTTGATCAAGTTGTGCTGACATGTTATACATATTTAGACATGTCTTTTCATGCTAATGTGCAATTTGATAGTAGAAACTGAGAAGTTGAATTGATGTACATAGGGCATGTGTTATTTTAAATTTCAATAAAAATCCATTGCCGTCAATTCGGACTCATAGCAACCCTATAAAACAGAGTAGAACTGCCCCATCGTGTTTCCAAGAAATGGCTGGTGGATTCCAACTGTCAAATTTTTGGTTAGCAGCCAAATGCTTAAAGTTGTTGTTGTTAGGTGCTGTTGGTTCCGACTCATAGTGACCCTACGTGCAACAGAACAGAACACTGCCCAGTCCTGTGCCATCCTCACAATTGTTGTTATGCTTGAGGATTGAGCCCATTGTTGCAGACACTGTGCCAATCCGTCTTGTTGAGAGTCTTCCTCTTTTTTTTGCTGGCCCTCTGCTTTACCAAGCATGATGTCCTTCTCCAGGGACTGATCTTTCCTGATAACATGCCCAAAGTATATGAGATGTAGTCTCGCCATCCTTGCTTCTAAGAAGCATTCTGATACTGTCAAATTCTCTCAAAAGTGGCTTTACCAATGGACACTCTTGCTAGCAATGTAAAAGGGCGCCTATTCCCCACAACCTTGATGAAGGTTGATATACTCAAACCTACTTTTTTCCTATTTTATGGGTTCTTTATATATATTCTTCTAATCCTTGAAATGATCTTGTTGGATTGGGTTGTTTATTGTCTTCATTTGCACACAATATACAAAACGCTACAGCAAAGCTCTTTATAGGTGCTGTTTATTTTAGTTATCACAACTACACTATGAGATAGAGATTTTCATCGTCTTCATCGAATAGATGAGATATGTAAGGCTCAAAGATGAGGTTAAGTAACATACCCAAGGAAGGGTACACACTAATTAGTTAGAGAGATCCTAGGTTCATATCTACATGACACCAAGGTCAATAATTGACAATACACATTCTCATACGTATGCTTGGCATCATTC